ATGGATTGAATACCTGTTCAAGACCAGTTGGGCTATCTTAGGCTCACTCTTTAGTTTACATACCCAGGCTTCTCCTCTGGACCGGTGAGACTCTTATGGTACAAGCAGGCATGGCTAAGTTTCTGATCACATGAGGATTAAGTTAAAAATAATGCAAACTTAAAAAAAAATCTGCATACCAAGTAGCAAGACCGCCAACTCCTCAGTTTAGCCTAAGGATCCTGCAGTCGGGTATCCTATAAGTAAATTGGAAGACCCAGAACAGAGTTCTACAGAGTCCCACAGGTCTAGCATAAAGGAGGCCCTCCTTTATGACATATAGTCATCATATGTGAAGGATACCAGCTAGCCAGCCCACTAATGCATAAAAAAAAATCCCTGCCAGTCAAGTTTTAGTTTCTCTTTTTTTTGATATGACAAACAATGATCACCAGACTTTTAAGGAAAGGCTCCAACAATAAGGTCAGAGACAAAAACAAACATAAAAGAAAAACTTCAGGGCGTTGCACTCTCTATTCCCTCTGGTGGGGTTGCTCTTTCCCTTGTTTGCTCTCTTCGCTTCTACCACGTTATTCTGGAGTCATTCAAATACAAATTAATAAAAGATATCTTTTCTTACCATTACATCTAAAAATCACACTTGTGCCACTACCCAATGTTTTGTCATTCTATTCCTTTACTCAAATTTATTTTCTTTATATATAAATTACTACATAGATATTTTTATATTCTTATATATATGTTATCAATTTCCCCCACTTTAAAATGACCACCCATAAGGATGCAAGTATTTCCTTTGGAACATAGTAGACCCTTGATAATTTTTCAAATATTATTCATTTGTCTAATTTTTATATAGTAAAAATAAATAACTTTGGTAACTCCAAAACAATGTAGGAAATGAAATTTAAAAATAATTATAATTCAGAGAACTAAGAAAAGTTATGGCCAAGAAGCAATTCAAAAATGTTAGCTGAATAAAAGCAACAATTAGAAAAGAATAATTAACTCTCAAGGTTTCAAAATACTAAAAAATAAAGATTTAATTTAATGTAAGATTGGGAAGACTTGGTAAAGGAAATCTCCAAAAGAGTAAAGAAAAATATAAAATACAAACAACAGGGAAGAAAAGATAGCAAAGTGAAAGATTAAGTCTGGAAGTCAAATGTCTGACTTACAGGAACTCCTATAATAACAGTAGAAGGGAGGGAATGATTACAGGTATGATGTAAGATATTTTCTAAAATGGGAAGGAAGGGCTCCTGGATGGAAAAGCTCTCTAGCTGCTCCACAAACACAATGAAAAGGAAAATCATCAAGGTACTTACAGAATTTTAGAAACTGCAGCTAAAATTAAGATTTTTCTGCATAGGTAATTCTCAAAACTATAATATGGAAGCAAAATAAATTGTGAAGTATATATACATTTTAAAATCTAGAAAATTTATATTATTGATGTATATGTACATATTTAGTAAAATTACAAAAAAACTTTCATGAGAATAATAATACCAAAATAATGATAGTAATTATCCATGAAGAGGGAAATGCTATTTAGGAATACAGAGAAGATATCATTTATGTGTACAAAGTTCTATTTAAAAATGACTTCAAGCAAATATAGCATAAGATTTAATGAGGCTGAGTAGTGGGTATAATGATATTGTTATAATGGCTCCACACTTTTGATGTTTTTGAGATATATCACTATTTAAAACAAAATGATACAAGAAAACAAAAGACAATAGATTACACAAAAAGTTGCAGGAAACAAAATAACATATTTCTTAATTGTATTAATGGAAACTAGAAGATAATTGAAAAATGTCCTCTCAGTTACATTGGAAATAATATTTAACCAAGGAGCACATATACAGGTAAAATATCAGCCAATTAATATAAACATAGAATGAAAACACTTGAGATTTAAAATTATTCACCTAGTCTTAAGAAACTAGTGAATTATGCTTCACTCTGTGAAGCAAGCAAGCAAATTATGTAAGAGAAAGATATGAGAGCTGTTAAGAAAAAAATTATACTGAACACTTGTTAGAATTGTCAAGACAGGTTTAGTTTTAACTACTGCTACTACAGTAAGATCTCTTTACTAGAAAGAGAGTTCAGTGTAGAAATGAACTCAACTCCAAGTTAAAAAAGCAAGAACTTAATCCAAGACTTTATTCAAGACGATTGCAATAGGAGAGTGAAATTAAACTTCCCTCCACTGAAGCAAAAGTTGGGAAGATTTTTAATACCTGGGTTAGCTAATGGAAAAGTACCAGAGGACATTTGAGGGGTGAGAGAGTGTTAGTCAATATGATTAGGCCATTTGTGTTTGTTAATTATCTCTTCTCAAAATCAGGCTTCTGTCCATTCATAATTACATTTCAAAGGGGTGGCTTCCAGGACCTTGAAAAAGACATTCCTACATTTTAGAAATTTACATCTCTAAGGAGCATGGGAAGAATTTTCAACTGCAAGTTTTCTAAAGAAAGTGTTCTAAGGAAAAGAGTCAGAGGCCTATACTCAGGGGTGTGGGGGGGAAACATGTTTAGTTAAGCTAAGAGGAATGTTAAGTCATCTTAGTCAAATCAGAAAGCTGAGGATCCAACCTAAGAGAGAAATGATGATGTTAGGTGAAGTCCCACTTCCAATTTTATGCACCAGTTGCATGGAGCCTGATGGAAGCAGAAGCCTGTAGGTCAGAGGTCCCAGTAAAAGAACAAGCAAGCAAACAGAAGAATTGAGTGGTTCTGAAGTGTTAGAACATGTAGAAATTAATATTGAATGACTTCTCACAGTTCTTTAAAAAGAATTAAGGATAGGTATGCTATAGACAGTGAAAAATATGCCACAAAATATGTGAAGAAATCAATAACAGACAGATAAAGGGAAAATCCCAAAACACTTGGAGTTTAAACAACACATTTCTAAATAACACATGGGTTAAAATAGAAATCTCAATAGCAACTAAAAATTATTTTGAACTAAATTAAACATGAAAATACAATATACTATTCTTTGTAGGATACAGTGAAAGCAGTGTTTAGAAGGACATTTATAGAATTTAGTGCATATACTTAAAAAGAACAAAAATCTAAAATCAATAACCCAACCTTCTACCTGAAGATACTAGGAAAGAAAGAGCATTTTAAATCTAAAGTAAGCAAAAGAAAATAAATAATAAAAATGAAGGTGAAAATACAAAATTGAAAATAGAAAATCAGTTATCAATTATCAATAAATCCAAAGATAGTTCTTTGAAAATATTAATAAAACTGATAAGCCTTTAACCAGGCTAAGAAAAAATTAGAAAAAACAAATTACTGGTATCAGAAATGAAAAAGGGATCATTACTATAGATCTCTTGGGCATTAAAAGGATAATGAAGGAATATTATTAATAACTCTACACTCACAAATTGATAAGCTAGAAGAAATAGACAGATTCCTTAAGATACAATCTGCCAAAACTTACACAAGAAGAAACAATTTGCATAGGGCTGTATCCATTAAAGAAATTGAATTAATAACTTTCCCAAACAAAAAGCATCAGGCCCAGATGGGTTCACTGGTTAATTCTACCAAACATTTAAGAAATAAATTATATTAATTTTCTGCAATCTCTTCCAGGGGATAGAATTAGAAAACTTCCAACCCATTCTATGAGGCAAACATTAACCTAATAGCAAAACTGGAGAAAGATATTGCAGGAAAAGAAAACTACAGATAAATACCTCAGATGAATGGAGATGCAAATATCCTCAAAAAAATATTAGGAAAATGAATCCAACAATGTACAAAAAGAGTTACACACCACACCCAATTGAACATCCTATATATCTTTCTAATATTTCCTGGACACCTTGAGATCTGGACCCCTTGAGATCTGGACCCCATTTCAAATCCCTATTTGGGGCCCCCTCTTGGCTGCACCCTGTTACAGTTTCAGGTGCACAATTCCAAAACACTTCATCTTTACACTGTACTGAGTGATCACTGTCCCAAGTCAAGCCTCTTTCCATCACCACTTATTTTCTATGTGAGATCTACCTTGTCAATCCAGTACTTCATTTTGGAGTGAGAGTGGTTGGCATCTCCTATCTTGTGGCTCTGTCACTGAGACTCAGGTAATTCCTTTTTCTTACCACTGACCCTCTTTGTTAGAATTCATCTTCCCTTATGACTTGCTGACTAATAGAATGAATTTGATGCATTTCTTTTCACCATTTTTTTTCTTGGAAAACATTTGTCCATGTGTTCTCGATAGCTTCATGTTTGTATATGTGATTATAAGTTAAGTGCAAAACCTATGCCTTTTATTGCATTTATAGCTGCACATGAATATGCTGCACTTCAGCTAAAGAATTGTTGATTTATTTTCTCTACCCTGCAATAGTTTGCTGGTGATATTTCTTAAGAAATGCTATGGCTAATTTATAGTACAAGTAGACAAGATTGCAAAGACCCTGAAAAAATTGCTAAAATAATAGGAAGAGGAAAGGAAAAAATAGCATTATGTTTTAATCAGTAAAGATCTTACAAATTTTAGTATTAGCCACAACATTATGTTCAATTTTGCTGAATTGAAGCAGTACTTTAATATTTAAATGTACAAAAGGTGAATATTCTTAGGGAAAGAAAAATAGATTTAAAGTAAGATGAACTTCACTTGGAAATAAATTATACCCTTTATAATATATACAAGTCCTAAGAAGTAAGAGCTCTTTAGTTTTACAATCGATATAACTCACTGATAATTTTACAATTAAATATATTTATGTTGTTGTAGTCTGTAAACCTTCATAAGTAGAATCAATGGATACATAATTTTCAGGTAGAACTGAGTTTCACTTTAGATGATTTTTTTCTTCCTATAAAATATAATAAGAAGAGGGAGGGAATCATATTTCCAAACAGGAAATTCAGAGCAAGTCAGTCCAAATAAGCTAACTAACATTTATAAAGTAATTCTCATCCTTATAAATTGCCTTCTTGCAGGAGACAGACCTTATCCTGACTTTTAATATTTCAATGCACCGATCTTGGTGGATGGAGAATGGACCAGGATGCACGGTGACATCAGTGACACCTGCCCCAGACTGGGCCCCAGAAGACCATCGCTACATCACGGTCTCAGGGTGTCTTCTGGAGTACCAGTACATAGAAGTGGCGCATAGTTCCCTCCAGATTGTCCTCGCAGTAAGTGTGCACAGCCAACCCCTCTTTTTAGTGCTTCTGGAATTGTTTTATTTCTGCGCAGTCTCAGTGCCCACAAATGGAATATTCAGGGAACATGTGGCTATTTGCTTTTTCCTAATTAATGCAACTTTTATTTTAATAGAGATTATGAACTTAAATCTTGCCCTGGACTGAGTGTATTGATTATTTCCAGCAATTACTAAATAGAATTTGTGCAATTTCAGCATTTTATATAAGAAATCCAACCAGTTAAAGTTTGATTATTTGGCTTTTGGTAGACTTTTCCAAAGACTCTGAAGGGAAGTTCAGAGAGTTTTCACATCTAACATGCTGTAATACCCAAATTTATAAGGATTCAATGGATATTCTCCCTCTCACACTGTGCCTCTTTCTGTGTATACTTTCAGTCCTGAAACTCCTCCATGTGCCCTATCTGCTTGTTCCTGGGTTTCTCCCAAAGTGTCACCCATCACCTTTATCCCTCCCTCTCTTTCAAAACAATTCCTTTTTCTATAAATTTCAGTTCTAGGACAATCATGCCCTTATTTTTCACAGAATTATACTAATAAAAAACTCTCCTAACTCCTTTTTATTTGTGTATTTGTAGAACATATTTGTACAATACATGCCTATGTTATATAAAACACTATTTTATATTGTATTACTAGGACAAAGATAAGAGCAATACTTATTTCTCAGAAAAAATTTTTACTGAAGCTAAAGAAATAATTTTGTGGGATTTATAAAATTAAGGCAACTTTACTATACATTTCTTCATTTATTTATTACAGGTCTATATGTGCCAATCCCCATATATTTTCCTCAGACTCCATGTAGATCTGCAATTTATGTGCACAGTCTTAAAATTGTTAACAAATATTGCAAGTATGATATGCTTTTTACCTTTTTCTTCAGTTAATTACTATGAGAATGATATTATATATGCATATACATTACAATAGGATAAGAATGCTGTTCTAGGAAGCACTTTCCAAATCTCTGTGACTGCAAACTGCAGTAGTTTATTCTCCTGAGTCAGCAGGAAGTTCCACCATGACTGTTATGAAGAAAACAAGGCAGTGGAGCAGCCACCATCCGAGTCATCAAGGGTTGTTGCCACGCCAGAGAGCGAAATAAATCTGTGGCGAGAAATGCTTCTCCATGGGAGGAGACAATCATTGTTCACAGTTCATTGTTCAGAACTAGTCACACAGTCCCAGCCAATCACAAAATGGCCAGAAGGAGGGGGGGACTGTAAATATTTATAAGTCAGCATAGATCATTTCCAGAATATTTGAATTATGTTCTTAGCTAAGGTGTTGGGTGGTTTCCCTCAAAATGTTCTGAGACACTTCTTAATAAACAAACTATGCTATACTTAACCTCTAAAAATTATAATTTTCATTATCTTGAAATAAAGATTAATTAGATTCAATGGGATGGAAGTAGTCATTTCATTACTTGAAACCCATTTAGATGAAGTATTCATTCTCTCCTGGGATAAGTAAAATATTTCCAGTTTTAGGGGACAGATAAAACACCTTCATATATGTATTAGAGAGCAGTTGTACATAAATGTTTCTTCATTTGGAAATTCCTTTTGTACTGTACTCCAGCGTTTTGGGAAGCTTCCATCTATGTATCAAGGATGCTATAAAGATAAAGTATATGTCTGGATAGTTATATGTGACTATTTTAGATTGTTAGTCAAAATAATGTATGTATATATGTATATGTGTATATATATATATATATAATTCATAGATTTATTAAACTCCACATAAAATTTTGGCACACATGTAATTTTCTAAAAAATACATTTGGACAGGGAAACATGTTGAGGCTGACATATTGCCCAAAGAGAAAGTATTTTTACTTAAGTAAAAACCATCTGAATAGGCTAAGTGGCTACAGTACAAAGAAGACAGGTGGAGTGTCCATAAGGCCAGATATAAGTGATGTTTTAAGCTTCTGGCTCTCAATTCTGTCTGCATTGCCAGGATTGAGTGGAGAAATTGTTTGAACGAGATAACACAGGATGCACTATTTTTACATCTCCAGTTTCCACCTTCCTTTCTGTCCAGGGGGCATTCTTCTTTCCCAATGCCTGCTCACTGTGGATCACCTTAGTCGTTTAGTTAGTAACCGTGCACCCAGGCCTGTCGCTTAGAGATCAATATTCTTTCTGTATTTTGGCTTGCTTTTGTCTCATCAGTCTTAGGCTGAAAGTACCTGTTGTGTAGAAACTCAGCAAATCTTAACTAGTTTTACAATGCAAATCAAAATGGGGCTTATGTATCTTGAACATTTGGCTTTACCTAGATGGAAGCCTTCCAACTACATTTTCCTGTGCTCATTCTGATCACTGTGCTATGATGATTAAGAGTTGAAATAGTGTCTTTGATCTCTGCTCCTCCCATTTTGGAGGAGCAGAGATCGAAGACCATCTAATGTTTACTTAAGTCCAGTCCAGTGAACACTACCTGAGCGCTTGGCCTCTGCCGGCATCTAGAGAAACAAATGACAGATCCCTGACCTTGAGGATGCCACGGTCAAAAATGAGGTGAGGTTCCTAAAGATTCAAAACAAGTGCAAATAGGCACTTTTCAGGGATGTGACAGACAGAAAATACAGTTTGTGCAGCTTGTGGCATAATCTTGGCTCGTTCGTTCCATCCTGCTTTTTGTAAAGTCAGCTGAATTCTCACGCTTCTCATTGTTTTCACTGGTCTTTGAAGCTGCCTTCTCTTCCAGGATACCTGGCTTAGATCTGCTTTCATAAATGGCTGCTCTTCCAGCTACTGCTCTTGATTAACTCCAAATCTCTCTAGTTCTTTTTCTACACCTTCACTGAGCCTTTCTTTCACAGATTCCTGACCCCTGGCATGCCTGTCACCCCATTGTTCGGTTTTCTGCCAATCAACTCCTAGCTGATTTTGAAATTAGCATTCACAAAGCCCTCATTTGCATTGTGCGTACATAAGATATTTCTTGTCTACAGCCAAAGGAAGAGGAGTTATCCATATAATTGGGAAGAGGGGCTATTAATCACACAGCTTCCAGCCGAGCAGAAAGCACTGCCAGAACACCATAATGATGAGCCAGGTGGGAGAATTTGAGCTCTCCTGCTCCAGCCGCATTTTCTTCTAGTTAGTATCAGACATCACATTCAAAAGGATTGCAGGTGCACAATTTTAATAAAATCAGAAATTAAAAATAACCCACATCTATAAAATGGATCAAATAAATATGTATGGGGAGAGCCAGGGAGGGAATCAGCTAGAGAGATGGTGTGGTTCACCCTAGAAAAATTGACCCAATTTCTTCAAATGTGTGATTGAACTGCATGGTTTACAAAATGTGTTCACGGGAATTAAATCCTTTAAATTGTGTAACAGTCCTGTGAGGGCAGCAGCACAGGTTAAAAGCCTTTCTTAAGATTTCTTAGCTAGTAAATAGGGAGGATGGGCATGCTGATTTAAGTTTTTCTCTGGCACCAATGATAGGAAATAGGTTCCAACCTGCATGCCAGCACTAGCTAATGGGTAACGGATTCCGGAGGCCCCTAAATTCCTACTTGTTTAGTGGCAACAAAAACAAATCCCAAACCACCATGATGGATTGGCTGTGTCTGCTGTGGGTAAGGGGAATGGAGGAATCTAGGCTTCATATTCGTTATGCGTGCATTACTCCTCACTCCTTGTAACCAACACAATGACAAAGGAGGTTGTTTTACACATGAATGTAAATAAATGAAGCTTTCAAGAAAAACGCTATTGCAATGCCTGAGGTTACTTTATATTTTAAAATATATATTAAGATTCCAAATAATTAATTGGAAAAAAACACAAATATTTAATCCCTCTTTTCTCTAGCTACTTCCTCAGGACCAATATCTGTAAATTTAATGTAAACTTGTCCAACTGAAATTGTTGGGAGCATTCCCCTTTATTTCCTTGATTTCTTTTACTGCTGATGCTCTTCTAAGTTCTTGTTGTTTTAATCAGATTGATTATTAATATTTTTAGGAGACCAGCAGAGGATATTGATAAAAATGTAAATATTCTCACTATTTCCCACAGATACTAAAATTGGCTTAGAAACCAGAAACAGATTAGCAAGGAAGTCACAGAAGACTTTAGGATAAATACTAATACCTGATGCTGTCCACAGGCTCACTACCTAGTTCATCCTTCAGTTATATCTATTCCCGATTCAGAAAAATATGTACCTTTTAGAGCGTATGCAACAATGGAAATCATGGTTTAACAGACTGTGGTAAAAATGTTTGAAGATAAAATATATACTTTTAGTTGGATAGAGTCACATCTTTCCAACTATTCCCAGTTTATGATTAATATTTGCCATTTGGCTTGCTAAGACTTGCCTAAGAATACCATGGGTGAAGAAATTTTTAAACCTTTGCCTTCTGGTACTGCAGGGTCTAGCCAATCACATAACTACCTGTCATCAAACACTGAGTCTGTGCTTCGGTACTGTGTCTACTGTATGTCCACACTAAAGAGTGAGGTGGTTTAGAGCTGGGACTGAAAATTGAGTCTTCTGACTCCTAGTTCACTATCCAGGCCGTACAACCATTTTCTTCCTAGGACAAAACTACGTGCTGCCTGTGATGGAAATGGATAGAGTGACAAAAACTCTGCTTCTTTCCCAGCTCTTGTACTGGTTCAATATTACTGCTTGGTGTCAGATATTGCACACACTGCACCAACTCTAGTTTTCCCGGGCACTGAGATACATGGACATAGTTGTCAAAAGGTAGTAACCCAGTAAATGAAATATATGTGACTTGTCTTTCTGTAACATCAGAACAGTTTACATAAATAGTCACAAAAATATAGGAAGAAAAACCAAACCACTGTTGTGAACAGGGGATTTTTCCAGCGACAAAGTTGTTGAAATAGGAGGTGAAGGTGGCAAACAGAAACAGGAAAGGATATTTCTTGGCACGATTTGGTACTGCAAAACATATAAACAATA